TTTTTATTAGAAAGAAACGACGTCGTAGCTGCTCGTTTAAAATTTCTGAGAACCATGCACGAGCTCCGAGAATCCAGTGACAGCAGACCCGTATATTACCTTGACGAAACGTGGGTGAACGAAAATCATACACAGAAGTACATATGGCAGGATACGACTGAGTCAGGTGGATTAAAGGTTCCTCTCGGCAAAGGTAGGAGACTAATAATTTGCCATGTTGGTTCAGCGAAAGATGGGTTTTTGCATGAATGCAAGTGGGTGTTTCAATCAAAAACGTCCTCAAACGACTATCATGATGAAATGAATGCTGACTCATTTAAAGAATGGTTCATTAAATTGTTATACATTTTGGAAGAGGGTTCGATAATTGTAATGGACAACGCACCATACCACTCCGTCCTCGCCGAAAAAATACCAAATACATCGTGGACAAAGGAAAACATTCAAAATTGGCTATCTGCAAAAAATATACAATATTCAACGAGTGAAACCAAACCAGAACTACTCGCGAGGGTTCTTCCGTACAAAACCCAACCGAAAAAGTATGAACTAGATATTTTGGCCAATGAAATGGGGCATACAGTGGTCAGGCTCCCTCCTTATCACTGCCAATATAACCCCATCGAGTTAGTATGGGCTAAAGTGAAAGGAGAGGTGGCATCCAAAAATAAAACCTTTAAATTAAAAGACGTTGAGCAACTTGTACATGACGCTCTAAACAATGTCACGAAAGAAGACTGGAAGTCCAGAGTTCTACATGCAGAAGCTCTGCAGGAAGAGGATTTTAAGAAGGAGTGTGTTAGAACCGTAACAATAGACAAATTAATTGTAAACTTGGCGGAAAGTTCAGACACTAGTAGTGAAGCAGAAACCGAAGAAGAGCCGGACGCTGAAAACTAACTACCTCATAATTAATTATCCCCCGAGACTGAATAGATCCAAACAAGTAAATAGGACACATTTCCCGGACCTTTATAATGTTAATTAAAGTTATGATCAGCAGCGTTTGATTTTTTTATACTCATAGTAGCTTTATTTTTATCATAAGTACCATTGCTAAAGAACCACAATAGTGTTTTACATAAAAAATAAGATAACAAATAAGAAAATGGTTTTATTAATAAATGTTTAGGCCTACATTAATATACTACTACCATTGCCTATATAACACTACGTAGTGTTATATAGTCAATGCTACTACTAGCCAGCTTTGCTCTGGTTATTTTTGTAAATTACTAGGGATGCGGCCTCAGGTCCGCCAATTGAGCGGAGTAAGCAAGCTTTGATATAAACAAATAACTTTAATTTGTTTTCATGATTCAAATTGAATACGCATGATGACGTCACCATAGCAACAATCCAATTGAATTCTCGTGGTTTGGTTGGAAGAGTTGAAGGAAATATGAATCCAGTCAGCTGTTTCTATTAGATCATTGATTTTTAATTGTATATATGAGTAATAGTAAAACTGTGTGTTTGTAATAGCATAAAGATAAGTATTATTTTGTCAATATCCTAATGTTTGTTTAGCTCCCATTTATGTAATAGGCCTATAGGCTTCCTTCTCATTTTCCCCAACTAAAACATTTAGCCAATTAGTAAACTTTGCTCAGCGAACAGAATGACAGAAGAAGGTGACTATATATAGCAATACCATAGTCAATGGTCACCACAGGAAATAAGGCGTGGCTAATTTCACGAGCTGATGATACCCTGAAAAAAGATTGTGGTTGCTGCAACGCTTGTGGCATTGAATTGGTGACGTTTGCGCTAGCTCCGCCCCATTGCCAAAATATAGGCATACTGTACTCAATAAATAGATTAGATTTTAAAGACGGCACTGGATAGAGAATTGATGAATTAAACAAGAATATATTTATTTCAAAACTAATATTTGCCAAAAAACTAATAGCAATAACAACAATTAAAAGAAATAATCTCCTTGGAATAATTCAGTAAGGCCGCCAGAAATTATGCGAATCGGTGTATTGTTAATCAACGCTTAATGGCCGGTATTCATCGGACTCCTTTTCTTTTGTACTGTCTTTTGTAAATAGGCCATAATGTGCATGTGTAAGCTGAGGTGCCCGTGGGTACAGAATGTCGAGTCGCATACGCTACGATTCTTTGTTTACATCTACGTTGTTATCTAGTAACCATCATGGCAACTCATAAGACTCATGTTAAACATTGCAAATTTTATGTCAGTCTTAAATTGTACAGGTATCATCAAATTGAAATTTGTTTGTTTCGAAACATCAAAAATATTTGTCGAAATACCCCTGGCAAGTTTGGATTCAATATGTTCAGCCGTTATTGAGTTAATTAATTGATTACATAGTTTGCATAAGGTCCGATCTCAAAGAGCTTCGCTCGCTCCGCTCAATTATATACTTGGTTTGAGATGTTTGTTTATACTGTGGAAATTTATGCCAGCTGATTTGAAAATATTGTTCAGTATTTTAATCAGTGTTGTCAACGGGCGATGTGGCAACGTCGCACTAGCCTTGTCTTGTGATTGGCTGCCACCAAACGCAAACTTACGTGGTCCCGACAATAGTATACTACTACTACTAGTAGTACTATTATACTATATTATTATACTACTATCGTTGCTATATAAGCAAACAGTGAGACACAAATAATGAGAAACTAACCCTAAAATAATAGAAACAAATTGAAAACAAAACACGACATCTACAGAAAACCAGACGGAACTAACAATAAAAGTGGCTTCAGCTGTTCCATAAGGATGGTAAAATATCTGCAATCCTAAAATGTTGTGGGAAGGTAAGGAGACTGGTCCGCGACCTAGGAAGTGGTGAAGGAAGTAGTCAATGCGAGCTATCCTGAGTGCGGGAACTGTTTATGACGATTAGATTATAGTATCTGCAATTCTAAAATGCTATGGGAAGGTAAGGAAACAGGTACGTGACGTAGGAAGTGGTAAAGGAAATAGTAAAGGTGAGCGGTCCGGAATGTGGAAACTGTTAATGACGATTAGATTAAGGTATCTACAAACTAAAAATGCTATGGGAAGGGAGGAAAACCGGTCCGCGATGTAGGAAGAGATGAAGGAAGTAGTAAAGGCGAGCAGTGTGGGGTCTGGGAACTGGAAACCAATTGTAACAGTTAGATTTATGTATCTGAAATTGAAATACTGAAATGAGAAGGGATGGAAACATGTCCAGGACATAGGAAATGGTGAAAGAAGTAGTCAATTCTAGCAGTGCAGAGTGTGGGAAAGGTTTGTGGCAATTAGATTAATGTATTTAAAATACTAAAATGCTATGGAAAGAGATGAAAACAGGTGCACGACGTAGGAAGTAGTAAAGTTTGGCATCGCAGAGTGTGGGAACCGTTTGTGGCAGTTAGATTAATGTATCTGTAATACTTAAATGCTATGAGAAGGGAAGGAAACAGACCCATGACGCAGGGAATGGTGAAGGAAGTAGTAAAGGCTGGCATCGCAGAGTGGGGGAATGATTTTTCCGAGCAAAGCTCGGTCCCCAGATACTACCTACTTATGAAGCCACGGGGTGAAGCCCGTGAACAGCTTAAATTATAAAAAAATGCTGAAATACTTCTATGTTTTGCATGTTTTACAAATTGAAACACACAATTAAATCAATACTTAAAGCAGTATAGGAATAGTGTATTCATAAAACGTCATACTTAAACATTGACTTTAAATTTAATAACTCTACGTATAAAAGTTTCAATGTTCCACGGCAAGTGAGACAAAATTGGCGATTTTTTTACATAACATTAATAGTTATAGAATCCTTATTACATAATACCATTGACTATTGGAATAGTCAAAGATAATAAATATTTACATCAAGTTAATCATCGTTAACATAAACATCTTGTATATTATTTACAAAACAAACAACGTAAAAAAACAATTCATTCTAATATCAGGGCTAAAAATAACATACAAACTATGGCCTATTAAAGTTTCATAAGTAAAATATTTGCAGGGATATTTTTTTTACAAAATAGAGATTACAGAACATTTGCAGTATGTTGCTGTATAAAAAGGTAAAATATATGATCACAGCACACAAGTGTAACGTAAAGGTCATGAAAACTCATGAAAGGTTTAGTAGGGTAAATTTTCATTTCATGAGACAAACGGTTTGTCTGAAATCAATAGTGGACACACTTGATTCAGCCTGTATAGTACGTCATCCATATCCTTCTAGGAACGTCGGGGCAGTTCGCGCCTTCTCGCCGAGACTACTTTCACTTGCTCCCCCATTCGATTGATTGGCACCCCTCATGTGCCGGGGAGGGCCATAAATCAGGGAATTAGCTTTAACAATGAGCGGGTAAAATTATGAAGAGACTTCTGTCTTCCTTCGACTGGTAGACCTTTTTGGTTGAACGTGATTTGCCCATTCGGTGTCCTACTATTTGCCACCAGTGTCATTTGCCACCAGTAACCAGTAGGGTCAGTTCCCGGAATTCCCGCCTGACCGTTCCTATGTGTATAAATAATTGTTTGTATATTAAATAAATGGTCTTAACTCCAGTTACAACTGCGAATTGTAAAAATTAATTTTACCATCTTGTTCGGCTAAAAAGAACGCACATTTTGAGTCCAAACTTCACATAATCACAAGTTAAACCGTATCTATGTTAAGGTATTTTAAACTATTTGAATATTCCTTACATGGCATAAGATTAGATAAATAATACAAAAATAGCATTTGTCACAGTATATGACGCATCAATAAGACTAAATCCCATTAAAATCTTGAAAAACCGCAGTTTAAGTGTTTAGTATTCTGCGAATATACAGGGGGAAGAACTTGAATGTGCCACCATTGCCATCTCAGAAATTATTCGATTTAGAGAAAACATTATATGAGGAACTTTTACTACTATCTTATGACATACAAAAATTTGAATTCTGGACGATGAATACATTCTGGATGAATCAGGAGTTTTAGGGTTGGGGCTGATGACTTACCCAGCCAGGTATAGAGTGGTGGCAAATGACACAAATCCTAGAGTGGTGGCAAATATCACTGGTGGCAACAACACATATTATTCTACATATTTACATTAGAGTCTTATCACGCCCCCATTGAGTATTGTACCTAAAATCTGCCGTGCATAAGTAATTATTTCGTACAGTACGGTATATTTAATGATCAATATTATATAAGCAGGTTTTTTGTGACAATTACTCCTCAGAAACTACTGGACCGATTGACATGTTTTTGGTGTCATTGGAAAGAGCGTAGCGTGAAGTTGTGCAGGAAACTTTCTTTTTAGGGAAATAATTAGAGAGTGAGGCCCTGGGGCCCTTTAAAGTTTCATATTTCTCCATAAGATTAACATGGGAAACAAAAATTGTTATGCAACTCCAGCTGTTGTCAAAAAAGTGAGAAGAAAAACATATGTTAATTTTAAACGGTCAATAAGTTTGATAATTTTACAGTTTGTTACAAACATTTACTGACTTGGTTGAAATGAAATATTTACTACTGTATTTTAATTCGGGTTGGCGTAAATATTACAATGGAAAAAAGCGAGAGAGCCTGAATAAATTGATATATTCTGTTATGTACATCTTGAATATTTCCATTTAATCTTTGGATCGAATCCTTTAAAGTCATAAGAAATTATTAACGTTATTCCTTTTAAAATAACACCTCTAATACTTAGAAATTGCTCGAATTCGAGCAACAGGGACACTATAGCCCAGTCAATAAAGGGACAAAATAGTGCTTTGTCGGAAGTAATTAGTGAAAGGCTGATTTTTTCATGGATGTTAGTAGATCATATAAGGAACATTTTCTAAAAAGTCCCCGCCCCTCCCCCTCTTGCTTCCCCCCCTACACCCTTTTAAGTGTATTTGTGTAAGCTTTTATCATTTTATCAATATC